ATTAAAAATAAATATAAAAAACTCAACAATCAAGTTACATAGTCATTATGTCCTTTTTTCTACATAATGCCTTATTCCAACTATTTAAAATATATTATTGCTGGTGTATACATTATATTCCATCTTTGCCTCTTCTCTGATAATAACTAAAAGGGGGGTGGGCAGACTGAGGAAGATGTAGTACGCTTTCCTGAAACATCCACTTCCTAAAGCAAGTAATGACCCTAATTTGGGCAGAAAAAGTGAGGGAGTGTCTTCATAGAAGAGGTAAGTTTTTTGGTTAGATTGAATCTTAGGTTTTCCTTCAAGAATGAAAAAGAAAAAAGCAAAGCAAAGACAAATGAGACTGCTCATCAGGAAGAGCACAGGAATCAGGGGTCTGGGTGAGAGTGTTTCAGCTTCAAGCCAAGTAACTCTTCAGGAGATTTCCATTTCGTAATGTTTCACCAACTGTAAATATACAACACATTCTGACATAATTTATGTCCAACTAAATGTTTTTTTAAAAAATATGTAATTATCACTAAATTTAATTTCTAAATTAGTCACAAAATTATATAAACTATAGGAATTCCAATCATCAATTCATTATCAGGTACAGTATAACCCTCCTAGGGATTCCAAATTTCAAGCTGAATAAGCCCTGGGAATAATTACTATTATTGTAAGCAATTCTAGAGTCACTGAATCATGATTCCAGCTCCGTTTAATATTCAAGTAAAAAAAAAAAACAAGCTGATAGAGATGAATGTCCAGAAATGAATCTGCTATTCAATATGATTAGACAAGTTAATTAAATAAACACTAAAATTCGGACGAAATCATAAAGTACCTTTATACTGTATGGTTTTTTTTTTTGTATGTGGGAATAAAGAATAAAAACATCAGTAATGAAAACAGTGCAATACTGTAAATTAAACATGCAGCTTTCAAAAGTTCTCTCACATATTGACAAAGATCAAAGAGGTACTCTACTAGAAAGATGAATGTGTTAACAATAGAGGTGAGAAAGAAACAGATGAAACAGACTTCGAAGAGAAAGAACACAAGGTCACTGTTCAGAAACTGTTTGACATGACAATAACAGATTAATATATATATATATATTTCAATTTGATTTGTAGATGTGTAGTTCGGGTTGAAAAAAAAGATAACTAAGTTGATCTTATTGATAATAAAAAAAAACATGAAATTGAATGCAATCATCCTGACAATGAATATTTAAGGATATTACCATTCAGGGAAATGGAATTAAATTTTGCTTATTTTGTAGCGAAACACTGAAATTCATGCACTGTGCTCTCATAATATATATTTCCATAAATGTTTCACTTGTTATGAATGGATTTTCTACAGAAGTAACTTCTTTTGTAATGTACCTTCCCAAAATAAACCTTTTGTAATGGCATTTACCAAAGTTGTTTTAGATTACCCTCTCATGTAGAATGATAAAATTCCCAATGACTGGGCTTTGACCTCCGCCTAACAAGTTAAGAAGGAAGAAGAGAAGAAAATGAGATGTAGTAAAGAGATAGAACCAGAAACTTGACATCCTAGGCAACAATGAAAAACTACACCAAGGAAAAGGAACTTAGCATCATGTAACCCATCTCAGGTACCGACAGGAACCGATTACTGAATGTTATTTTTGTTTTATATTTTTCAAAGATTCATTTATTTTTGTTTGAAAGGCAAGATTCACAAAGAGGGAAGGAGACATAGGAAGAGAGAGAGATGTTCCATCTGCTGGTTCACTCCTGTAACGGCTGCGGTGGTCAGAGCTGCAGGGCCAACCAACAGGAGCTTCTTCTGCGTCTCCAGCATGGGTACCGGGGTCCAGAGACTTGGATCACATTTTGTTGCTTTCCCAGGCACTTCAGCAGGCAGTTACATCAGAAGTGAAGCAGCCAGGACTCAAACCCATGCCTGTATGGGATACTAGCACCACAAAAAGAGGATTAACCTACTATTCCAACACATGAGCCCCTCAGTTACTGGAGACCAGTCTAAGAATGGATTCCAGGTAGCACCAGAGGCTTTTGCTCTAACTATGATACATTTAAGAAAGAAGAAAAGAAAAACTATATGTATCAAGCATTAACAATTCCTCAGAGAAGTTTTACGGCTCTAAGTGAGAGAATCAGGACCATACGAGGCAGAATAAAAGAAGAGAAGAAAAAAGAAAGGGAAGGGGTGAAAAGTGGGAGGAAAGAAAAAAGGGGAAAGGAGACGGAGAGAAGGGAGGGATGGCCAGTTCTGAAGGCAGAGGAAGCATTGTTTATATATTGATGGGAACGATTCAGTAAGGAAACGCTATGCTTTCTATACAAAACTTACTGTGAATCTGGAACTCTTACCATAACTCTTCTATGAAACGCCTTGCTTAAGCTCACTTAAGTGAGAAAGAGACTAAAACATTAAATAAGTATGGAAAGGCCAAGCAATAAACCACTAAGGTGCAAAACCCTTGGCTTCAATCTCTACACTGAATTGTGTTTTTACATGATAAGTCAATCGGAAAGACATTAATATTTTTATGATCTATTTATTGCTTTTGAAAGACAGAAAGGAAGAAATCTTCCATCAGCTGGTTCATTCTCAAATGGCAGAGGATGGGTTAGGTTGAAACCAGGACTATGAGCCTCATCTGGGCTTCCACATGAGTGCAGGGGGCTAGGCATTTTGGCCATTTCCCGCTGATTTCTCAGGCGCATTAGTAGGGATCTGGATTGGAAGTGGAGCAGTCAGGATTCTGGCTGGCATCCATATATGATCCTGACACTGGAGTCAGTGATTTAGCTGCTACCCCAACACCAGCCACAATAAAAATGTCATTCAAAAGCACAATAATAAAAGAATACCACGGTGTCTTACAGGGCTACCCTGACCAATGGAAACTGAAATATCAAGCTGAAGGATAGGTCAGATCATTTAGCTTTTGACAATGACAAATGGATCAAAAGCTTAGACATAAATAAAATGTGTAAAACATGAAAGAATAGTTTCTAGTCTTGAAATATAGCCATTACTCAGGATATTTCTCAGTAATAAAAACAACTACACAAAATGTAAACCTCCTGCACACTGGGACAAATATTATTATTAAATATAAAACAAACATACTGGAAAAGTATTTCCATTCTATGTAACAGGCTAAAAATAAAAACATCTTTCCATACATTAATATAAATAGATTGTTCCCTCACAGAAAAATAAACATGAAATTTTTCAGACACACAACACGTTGCATGAATTAAAATATTTTAATTTCCTAAAACTGGCAGAAAATCCAGAAAACTGACAAAATGGAACATTTGTAGGAAGTAATTCAGCAATATAACTTATATTTTTAAGCATTTGAGGCAACAACTTTACCCCTAGAATTATTCTAAAAAGTACACAATAATATACACAAGCGACCTACTTGCAACAGTGCTTCTGTAAACTATCTAAATGCCTAATATTAACAAATTAACAAAGTATCATACATCTATCCAACAAATTTATTAACTACTTAGATGATGTTGTATTTCCACAAATATTACATTGAGTGATAGAGTTGTTAAATACCTCTTTTTCATTATAATTTTTAATACTACCAGCATTTTCTACAAAGGCATATTATATCATGTTTATAAGAACTCCACTGATGCAATGCACATGCCAAACAACTAACCAATTTGAAGTGTACCATTCAATGGTTTCTACACCCCTGCACATTTTCAGCCAACGTCAGAACACATTTATCATCCTACCACCTCAAACTATTGCACACTTACTAATAAGCACCCCTCATCTCATTGCTCTTCCCTTTTCCCCATCAACTCCTAATGTACTTTGCTGCCTCTAGACTTGCCTATTCTAAACATTTCATATAAAGTCATATCATATTACATTTGGACTTCTGTGACTGGCTTCTATGCCTTATATTTTAACCATGCATTTCTCAGAATTGACATTCTTAATGTCTATGGAAGCTGAAGGGATGGACTTAGGGCATATCCAGGTGCACATGGAAGACATGGCAGGACAATGGAGCCTGCAGAGGACACCTGGGACCATGACAGGGAAATGAGGGAGGGGAGGCCACCATTTGGATGGAGAATGAGCCCCAATCTATAGTGTCTCTAATTATCTTTAATCAATTTTGCTATGACAAGTTCAAGTGTACTTTGAGAAGGTTACTGAAGTGTTACTACACTTTACAACCTAGGAAGGCAGAGGAGCATAACTCAGAGGGTGCAAAGTGTGGGGAATGACTCCACCAGAACAAAAACAAACGCCACACTCCACACTTCCACCCACACCTGAGACTTTGTACAGTCAGGATATACTTATTAAATCAGCAGCCATTTGGTGCAGCTTAATGTAGATAACCTATCATTTAAAAATAATTTTAAAAGCCCTACTGTCTAGCCAAAAGCTTACACCCAAAATACCAATTTCCTCATAGAAGCATAATTTTTAAAGAATTTAGAAGTCAAGCATTAGGACTAATGAGGACAAACCTATGAAGAAGTTTTATAAAGCAAAAGGAAAGAAAATACAATGCCTAAAACTAAAGTAATTTTGTAATGAAGTTTTTTTTTTTAATTTTGCAGAAGAAACGAACAGGTGTTAATAATCAATGACTACTGCCCACTTGATTCTGCAAAATCTAAGGCAGGAAAAAATTAGCAAAAAGAAAAAAACAAAAGTGTCCTTTTTGTCAAACAGACCAGAAATAAATTCCAAGTATGTGAGATTCTGCTATAGAGATTATTCCTATTAGGGCCAGAGTTTTCTGCCAGAAAACACAAAAATTCTAAATCAATCCCAGCCTAAAAATATCCCATCCTTCACTATCCCTGTTTGCCTCTCATGTACTTACTTATCTTGATAATTACTAAAAGTCAGAGGCATACGGAAAACTGTCTGATGTATACTAATATATGCTGATACACATATTTTATACAGAATGTTTTTAAAAATTCACCAAAGAAGATAGTTAGCGTGCTTACCACTGAGGTATTTCTGAGTGCGTTATTTCTTTCAGAAACTCCAAAGGACCTATTATCCTTTTCCTTTTGTTCAATTAATCCAGAGGCCAAATATTTTTCAAAAGGATCAAGTCACATCTGTAGTACAAGAGATCTCCATAATATTGCTAAAATATTTAACAAAAACATACAAAATATATTATATGCGTGGGTGGGGAAGCAGTATAGATAGCGATGAAGAACATGAATTCCAGCTTGGCTGCGAGGGCCAACACTAGCACTGTGGCATAGTGGGTCAATCTGGTGCGGGTTCAAGTCTCAACTGCTCCACTTGTGATCCAGCTCCCTGCTAACACGTGGGAAAGCAGCACGGAGAACGGTCCACATACTCCTACCCCTGCATCCACATGGCAAATCCGGAGGAAACTCCTGCCTTCCCACCAGCCCAGCTCTAGTGCTGCAACCATTTGGGCAGTGAACCAGCAGATGCAAGATTCTCTCTCTCTCTCTCAACATTGTCTTTCAAATACATTAAAAAAATCTTACTTTAAACAAAAAACAAAACTTGCCTTCAAGTAGGTTTTGGGGAAGCTCTACTCCTCAAGCACTTCATCTGTAACCATGGGAATTAACTCATAGGGGAGTTGCAGAGCTTTTAAAGATACAGTCTATATGAGGGCTTAGAACAGTGCCCAATACCTAGTAAGTGAACAGACAACATTGCTTGCTTTTGATTTTTCTGTTTCTTTCTTCCTCTTCCGACTGCTGATCTCTGGTCCTCCTTCCAGTTCAGGAAGGCCACCTCGCTAACACTTCTTGGCATCTGCTTCCCATAACATTTTCCCCTTGCACAGTTTGTTGGAATATTTTATTTGTGGCTGGCTCTGACTTTATGTTAATTGTGCTTTTTGTTTCCCGCAGAAATGCAGTGCCTCACTATTGCTGTATTTAGAATTGTAAACTTCAAAAATCTATAAATAAGAAGTTAAAATAAATAATTTTACAGGAAGCTAGTCCTGATTATAAATGCAGACTAATGACTTTTTTCCCTACACAAAAAGAATAAAAAGAACTGATCCGAAATAGCCCCAAATCTGCCATTTACAAATAGCATTATATAGAATTAAATATTTTATTGGCTCAAATTCAGGTATTATTAGTTACTGAGTATGACCTGGAAGAGTTGAGTTGTATAGATTTGGAGTTTTTGCTGTGTATACCCTGTAAAACTATATCAGTTTAGTTAATGATGCCCTTAACAGTTCAATGTTCTTTAGGTTTCTATTTTTTGCAGTAGTTTAACTCATAACTCTCCCAAGGACATTTTCTAACTTAATCAGAGGCAAGTTAAGTGAGGATGGCCACTGAATTCAAGGCATGGTACTCACAGCATAACTTAAAGAGGCAGCATTCACAGAGGACAAAACTGGAGCAGTCTGCTCTAGTGCTACGTGCTTCGAGAAATTTTCAGCAGTTTTAGCTTATTTATTGTAGTACCAAAATGGACTAAATGGTTCATTTTTCCTTCCCACCACAACCAACTATACATGGTTACTGCTTCAAAGAGTTTAAAATAGATTTCCCAAATACACTTATTTTTCATTCTTTACTTTAAAAAATATATTTATTTGAAAGGCAGAAGGAGAAGGTCACACAGGCAGGGCGAGCTCTCATTGACTAACTTACAGCAGAATGTTGGAGCTAAGCCAGGACCGAAAAAGAGAATGTCATCTGTGCCTGCCTTGTAGGTGCCAGGAACCTACCCACTGGGGCCATCCCTCCAGGGTCTGCAGCAGCAGGAAGCAGGAGCTACAGCGGGAACTGAGAGACGTCATGTGAGACAGGGCCTTTGGCCACCAGGCTAAGCTCTGCTCCCTGCCTCTGAGAAGGTCCACTAGTGAAGATAAATATGAGATACCATGACAGGAGAAGGGGGATCATTTATCAAACATGACATTTTAAAAGATATTTTTGGCCTCTGTTTCATGAAAGGTAAATAGATTTAATTATTCTTATAACAACGTAAAATTGACAGAAGTTACTGTTTCAAGTATGTACATTCCAGCAAATACATTCATATATTTTATTCCAAAGAGCACTTAAGAGTTAGCATGTTTCAAGTCGGTTAGCATTATAAACTAATTATCCCACTAAATTCTTCTTATAAATCATACTAATCATTACTAGAGATTAGAAATATTTCTAGCTAGAGTAAGTTTCAGAAGATTAAAAAGAATTATATCTCAAAATCAAGACTATTGTTCATTCACTGTCTTCTCTCCACTTCCAACTTCTCAGGAAAAACACAACTGCCAACTCCGTGGACCTGGACAGCAGCTCTGTGTGTGTCCACTCACCACCAGAACGCACTCCATTCTTGATACACAAACCCGAACAAAGAGAGTTCTAAATATGATATCTAAGATGCCCTTTGTGTAAAACTTCCACTTGGTGGTTAGGCTCCTAAATATTCAAACCTGAAGCTATTTAATTGTAGACACCTCAATTTTGTATTTAGCATAGAGATTCACCTTACACTGCCTCCAGTATTCATTCATTCAACATATTACATATGCATTATAAGGCAGTATTCCAAATGGGGAAAAATGAAGTAACACACCTTCTGACCTCAGCAAGTTTACTTTTGGTGGCCATATGTGCCATTGAAAAAATAAAACTTCACCATATAAACATAACGGTTTCCCATAGATACAGGTGACATTATCAGCTTAGAATTAGAAGGGCTACTATGTGGCTCTAATTTCATATGAATGATCATGTGACCTGTCATGTGTATAATAAAACAGAACAGTGATTCCATGACCCATTTCCTCCCAGAAATTTCACTGTATATTTTATATATAATACTGTATAATTTATAGTTAACATTGTGGAGAATAAGGTCACCTTTTTAGCAAAATCATGATGTAACACATCCCTTGATACCACCCATTTACTTTCTTTCATTTTTAAAAATAATTCATTTTAAAATAATAATTTCTACAACTTAAATATCTGCTCTACTGTTATTAAAAAGATGATTAGAGGAAATGAACTAACAGTTGCTAATAATGAAACACTGGGCAAATTTGTTGTAGCAGGAATCTATACTGGAACTTAATTCAAGATGCTTATTTCTAAAACCAGATACTTCATTATAATAGTGAAGTATATTTAGAAACACACATAAGCATGATAGCACTATATCTGATTTGCAGAGGTAATGGAATTATCTACTTTGCATTCTGAATTAATTTTTTAAAAGTTTGTTTTATTTATTTGAAAGAGTTAGAAAGAGAGAGGGAGAGATATCACACAGGTTTACTCCCCAAGCGACTACAACATGCAAGATTAGGCCAGGCCACAGCAAGAGGCCCAGAACTCCAACTGGGTCCACTACATGAGTGGCAGGGCCCAAATACTTGAGCCAACTGCAGCTGCTTTCCCAACGAACAGGAAGCTGAGGGGCTAGAACCTGAATCAGCCCTCACATAGGATGCCAACATCCCAGGCAGCAGCTTGGCCCATTGCACCCCAACACTGGCTTTGTTAAAATAATTCTGTACTTTAAAGAAAAGCTACAATAACACAGCAAGATGCCAACATACCTGCCAATGAGATTCCCTGAATGGAGGAATGCTATTATACACAACTATAAGATGATTATCAAGCCATAAATTTAGCAGTTTCATACAAACTGTAGACCTTATTCAAGCTGCACCACTTATACCACTAATGCTATTCCAGAATCCTGCCAAATTCCCACATTCCCTTTGTTGCTCATGTTTCTTCGATTTTCTGTATTACGCAACACTTTTTTGCCTTTCATGATCTTAACATTTCTCTTTTTTAAAGTTACATCTTATGTTTTCATTGGCAAGTAAGATATACAGAGGAGAAAAAGAGAGGAAGATCTTCCATCCATTCAGTCCCCAAGTGGCCACAATTGCTGGAACTGCGCCAATCCAAACACAGGAGGCCAGAGCCTCTTCCAGGTCTCCCACATGGGTGCAGGATTCCAAGGCCTTGGGCCAGTCTTGACTACTTTCCCAGGCCACAAACAGGGAGATGGATGGGAAGTGGGGCAACCAGGATTAGAACTGGCACCCATATGGGATCCTGGTGCATGAAAGGGGAGGACTTCAGTTGCTAGGCTATCAGGCTGGGCCTGATCTTAACATTGCTAAAGAGCATTGGCATATTACTTGGTGAATTATGTCCCCATCTGGGTTTGTCTAACGTTTTCTCATGATGCCACTGTTCGACAAGTATTTTGAGATACTTTCAGGTCACCCAACTATTCTATTGCTTCTACCCCTTTCCTGTCATCCACTGATGATGAATCTTGCCTGCCACAATTACTGCTATCATGTCTGCCTCATGGTGATTTTCTATATGGTCATTCTGTCCATGTTTATTCACTATAATTCAGAAGAATGATTTTTTAAAAATTGTATCGAACAGTAAGGACCTCAACATTCTTCAAAAAGTTAAGTAAAAGAAAAACTGTAAAACGGTAATAGCATATGTACTGGACAAATGGCTTCCTCTTCAGCTAGAATGACCTTAAAGTCCCTGAATCAGATGTCTAGCAGTTCCTTTTTGAAGAATCTGTATTTGAGTTAGTTGCTAATGACATCTGTCAGCAGCTGTAGTGTTTTGTTTTTATGTAATTGTAGCTTCATTTTTTATTGCAAGTAATGCATCATGATGCATATTTAAGGTTTTCCAAATAAAGAGTCTTGAGCAATCTATTTTCAAGCAGCTAATATCACAGCACATTTGAAGCTAAGGGTAAGCATTCCTCAGGAACCAAAACAACGAAGACAGCAAATATTCTGTCCTTGCGAATCTAATCTCATTCTTCAACCTGAAACCTTGCCACACGAGCATAAAATTTTAGTATAAGGAAAGACGCCTTCAAAACACTAAGTTCTAGTGCTCTGCTTTTCAAGACTTTATTATTCCTAAGACAGGAAGAGGATCTGCAAACATGATACATAGCCTTAAATTATTCACTTCTTCTTTCACAAAAGAAAAAGCCCATCAATCTAATGCCATAAGACTTCCAATTTATGTATAAAGGCTTCAAGAAAATGACTTATTTATCAAAAGTTTATTCTGTTTGTTCATTAAAAACTTCAGTCATATATTGAGGTCAAAGAAT